TGAGTTTTTAATCACGTGCCTGGCACTGTGCTGTGCACCTGACTTTCATTGTGTCATTTAATCCTTGCTTTCAAAAGTTTTTCAGGTGATCAAAGTTGAGCTAGAAGTTTAACTACCCATAGTTGCTCAGCTGACGTGGAGTAGAGCAGTAGTCCAAGACCAAAACCTTTACCAACTTAATCCCCTGCATAAACCCCCATGCATCCTGTGCCTCTAAAACAGATTAGTGATATTCTGTCTCTAATGGTTTTGTTTTCAACACATAACTTTTAACTCTACATTAACTCAAATTGATACATTAATATAATAGAGTCAGTATCATTGGAATTGCTTTTCCTTTGCTCTTTTCACTCCTCTTTGTATGTACCAATCATATGAAAAATCCTCCTTTGAACCATCCTTCTGTGTAAAGGAAGATGAGTAATTTAGACTTTTCTTTCTTGAGTCTGTGCATGATGACTTAAAAGGAGATATCATCTTTCTGTGAGGAAAAAGAGTTAGGATATCAATCCAGAAAACACTGTTTGTAATGACCTGTTTTATGAGTTTGATTTCACCAGACTCAGAACAAGGACAGTGGTCAATGTACCATCTTGTAGTTAATTGTACTTGCAGCATCTTGTAGGTAGTTATCCTTAGTGAGAATCTGAATTTCAATTTTTTATACTACCCTAACAAAGTGAACTTAAAATTTTGATATGTGGCTATGTGGGGGGAAGGAGGGGTTGAGAAAGAGGAGTGATATAGCTGATCTTGAGATTGCCATCACAAAGTATGGTAGAGAAGCTGCTCACCATTCAAAGCCTGACTCATTGAGGGATAAAATGTTTGGCCTCAGAAGAAGCTGATTTACCAAAAGTAAGAGATTAGAGCATTTCAATTTTACCTCTTAAATCAATTGTTACCATTGAGGCTACTAATAAACTGTTTTGTGATCAACAAAAACATTGGAAGGTCCTGTGCACACACTGCACTGGGTTTTGTTTTAGTTTGTTTTCTTTGTAGTTTAAAGACTCATTCTTACCACTACTAATTTGGTTTCCCTAAGTCACTTTGTCCAGAAGACTTTAAGATCATTCCAAAAAACCCAGCTTATCCATGCTATGGGTAGTATTTTCAGCATTCTTTTTTTTTTTTTGGTCAAGTCGTGGGGCCTGAACTCTGGGCCTGGGTGCTGTTCCTCAGCTCTTCAGCTCAAGGCTAGCGCTCTACCACTTGAGACACAGCGCCATTTCCGGCTTTTTTCTTTTTGCTTATGTGGTGCTGAGGAATCAAACCCAGGGCCTCAGGCATGCAAGGCAAGCGCTCTACCACTGAGCTACCTTCCCAGCCCTTCAGCATTCTTTTTTAGTGGTATAAAATAAATTACTGAGAAATCTTTAAAAAGAGCCTCAATAACTTCAACAGAGAAGAACCGAATGATTATTTGGAAGTTAAATAGCTGGAATTTATATAGATTTTAGTTCCAGGATAAACTGAATTTGTGATTTCTGCATCCTTCCTAGGGTCATAGAATATAACTAATATTCTTCCAATGTACAGGCCAATATGAATTCCATAAGATAGGATTCTAATTTTGCTATCTTTTTTCCCAAATAATTCACAAAAACAAAAGCCTTTAGTTCTTTTTAATGGTGATGTTTTAACAGTTAGAAATCCTGACTATGTGAAAATGGGTTTAAAAGTATCACTTTAACAAGTTTTATGCAATGAGAAATTACAGCTATTGTGGATTCTAGTCCTCTTCACATTCAGAGTTTTACACATGTAGAATTCTAGTGACTAATATTTTAATAGAAAATTCTAGCTCTTTAAAGATATTTTTAAAGATTCATTATATTTCTGTAGTATTTCTTGCAAAAACTCCTTTTTTTTAAATTGGGGAAATACCATACAGAGGGGTTACAATTACATGGGCAAGGTAATGAGTGCATTTCTTATCAAGCATTGTTTCCTCCTCCTTTGTTTCCCCTTACCATCCCTTCCCATCTTCCCCCCTATACCCCCCCCCAACTACCCCACACCAAAAACTCCTTTAAAATAAGAAAAAACAAGAATTTCTTTACTTTTAAGATATTTCAATTTCTTCAAGTTAGAATTCAGTTCATTTCTAATACTATCCTTTTATGAAAAGGGTTGTTTTCATTTTGTTGGTGTATAACCAATTACATAATCTGTTTTTTGTTGTTGTTTGAATAAGACATTATTCTAAAATTTCTTGACTTTTAAAAGCTATTCCAAAGAGGTTTAAGTAGCAATTAACTGAAAGGAACAACTACTCATAAATTTGAAGCCATCAGTAATGATACCTAATTTTGAAGTAGCCATACCATTTTAAAAGGTTTATTTACATATGTTGATTTTTATGGCTATTCATGTCATATGTGTGGTTCTGTGTTGCCCAGTACAGTAACCACAAACCACATGTGGCATTTGAAGTATGCCTCATCTAAATGGAGATGTTCCATAAATACACACTGGATTTCAAAGACTGTTACAAAAGAACATAAAGAATATAAATGTCTCACTCATAATCCTAGTTATTCAGGAGGCTGAGATAAGTTTGAAGCCTGCTAGACAGATTAATCCAAGAGACTCTTACCTCTACTTAACTAATAAGAAACTGAAACTGAAGGCATGGCTCAAGAGGTAGAAGGTCAGCTGCGCAAGGAAAAAACCCAGGGAGAAAGCCTTGAGTTCAAGCCCCATTACGGTGTGCACACACACACACACACACACACACACACACACACACACACACACACACACTCATTACTTGTATAAGGTATTCATTTTTACGGATAGCATGTTAAACTTATCATTTTAAATACCTAAGTGAAATACTACTTTTAAGTTCTTGTAACCTTTTTTTTCCTGTTTGTTAAAATAGCAACTAGAAAAATTTTTAATTATAGGTAAAATTTGCATTTGTAGCCCACATATATTTTGGATAGGACTGGTCTAGGTTACCTTTTCACTATGTTTGTTTTAGAAATAATATTTTAATAGAAAACTCCACTGAAAAACTTGGAATAACTCTGATTATATTGTCTTAGTATTTCATATGCTGCATTTAACACCAACATCATCTTTTGGTTCTTTTCTTTGCTGTTATTTCTAGTGGTGTGATACTTTAAAATCCCTTTCCTTTTGATATCAGTAAGTAAGGAATTTAAATAGGTTTTAGTGAAAACAATACAGGAGCCTTATTCGTATATTCAAGTCAGATCGTTATTCCAAACAATAGCTTTAAGTGCTTACCTAGATCTGTACTTCATGTCTTAAATTGCTTGTCATTTATTTATAAAGGTGTTTCAAGAAACTGCTCCATTGGATCCCTTCTTTCATTATTTTTTTTGAAAAAGTAACAATCTTTTAGTAGCTTGTTGGAAGTCTCAAGAAAAGCCCTTTATATCAGCAAAAATAAAATATATTTCCAGAATTTGTACAGATTTAGTTATAATTAGTCCTGTGGAAGTTAATTTTTACAAATGCCTTTATTCTATTTTATTTTCCCATTATACTTGAGTCTAGGTTGTCAGCATTACCATGAGGAAACCTATGTAATTCCTAGAGAGAAAAAAGTTGTACTGTTAGACTTAATAGTATGGTAGTCATGGAAGCATCAGTTATCTTCATCAAGGCAATTCAGATTTGATTATTATAGAACTGTGTTGAATACCAAACCAGTGGAGTAGAATCTGGAGCTAAATCAAGGGACTGTCATTTTTGTCAGATGATTGGAGCTGGCTTGGAAGAGATATGAAAGGGTTGCTCTGTGTAAATATTCTCTTTTCAGCAGAAAAAGAAAAGGTCCATCATGGCTATTAAGATGCAGCTTGTTAGCTTGATGAATTTCAAACTATTTAACCTTAGCAATTATACCCCAACCTCATGCCTGCCTGTAACTACAGCAGTGCTTTGGGATTTTCCAAGAATCGATACTTTAGCATATTAGTAATTTTCTATTAAGATAAAATATACCTTGTTTCTTCATAGATCTCTCAAAGGACAGTGCATGAAATACATGCTTGGGTAACTAGAAGAATTCTATTGTTAGAAGTTTCTCAAACTTTCTTATGGCAAATGTGTGTAACTTAACATTTTAGAGATTATGATATTTAATTATGCTGTAAATATGTTAAGGTTTTGCAGACGTATATTTAATTTTTATTTGCCTCTGAAGGGCTTGATACATTTATATAATTAATAGTTAAATAATGAATAAATACAAATAAATAATAGCTAAACAGTAGCTACATACTTAAGAATACAAATCCCACCGAATGATTCAAGGACATGTCTATAATATTATAAATAATACTAAATGCCAGAAAGCAGTGTTATTGCTACTTTGTTCATAGACCCATTTGCATTGGTAAATTTGATGATCATACTCCTAATACTTCTACTCATTGGTATAGTCTAAGCACTGGTTCAACTCAAATGAAACTAGAGGCATAGAAATTACTAACTTGGAAAGAATTGTTGAAGTAACTCATTCACTTTGGGAGAAGGACTCAGAGTGCCATCTAGTGGTTATTTGTAGCATTCTGTTCATCAAAAACCAAGGATGGTTTTTACTCTTCCTCCAAAATGTTGCTTCCTGAACACTTTGTCTCTCAGCCAGCCTTTTATGATAATTTGTGCTTATGGTATATCTCATGTAATTCTTAAGTTTTCTTATAATTTATCTCATTTTGTAAAATAATATTTAAAAGTGACCAAGGTCATCAAAAATAAAGCTAATGACACAAATAAGTCTGAACTACAACACAGGTTAGAATAAAATACCTGAAAATAATTTCCATTTTAATCAGAACTGAGATCAATTAAGGAAGAACCTAAACAAAAAAAGCAAAATCCAAGTATGCCACTTGTTAAACTTTATTATTATATATATTATTTTATGAAGGAATATAAATGGTAACCTTTTCATTTTGTGTTAATATATAATTTAAATAGATTATGCCTTTTAACATATTGCTTTCTTTCTTCAGAGAAACCCAAGGCCAGTGACTTACCAATTCCGTCCCAATTTGGATTATTACAAAGCACGAGGAGCAGACCTTATGAATAAAAGCCGGTAAATCTTTTTTGATGGTAGTTGTCAATCACAGGCATAGTCTCAGAGGTTATCAAAATAATTGTACACACTTTCTGAAAATTATTTTCCAGACTTTAGAATGTTGGTGGCTAATGTGCATAATAAATCATCGTTTAACAAATTATCTAAGGTTTTTGAAGGCGTAAGAAAATGATATACTTTGATGTCAGTGGTGAGATAACAAATGAAATAGATGTAAGAGTACTTTTTCTATTTTGAAATTAGGCAACTTCATTTTTCTAAGCCTAATAAATCTAAATAGATTGTGCCTGCTTGGTATAATCTTTTTCTAGATCCTTGCTGTGATTGAAAAGAGGCAGTTTTGTAATATATTTTTAAGTTATTTCTGTAACAAAATTAAAATTGGGTTTCCCAACTGTCTTTAGAACTACACAATAAATTTATAAATGCATCTGTGTGTGCATTTGTGATTGCATACACAGAAATTTTAAGGGTCACCGTAGGAATAAAAAACCATTAAAAATCGTACTTTTTAGAGAAATTAACATTGGCATAAAGGGTTGATGAACAGTTTTGTTCTTTCATAATACTATACCCAGATGTCTCAAGAGTTAACACGTCTAACCAGAACCATTTCAAATTAGAATGTAATTTCAAAGTTTATACTGGAAGACTAAAATGTTGTATTGATAAATGCTGCCAAGTTGTCCGAATTTTCTTCCTTAAACATTTTGTCTTTATGCTAGCTTTCCTTCTGTAGAATTCCTGCAACTTCAATATACATTTGTCTCTCTGTGTGTATATATGTAAGTATGTAAACACATGTGCACTCTGCTATTTACTGGAGACTTAAAATTGCTGTCATATAGTTAAAATCTAGGCGTGTCAGAAGTTCACAACAAACTGGCTAATTTTTAAACTTAAAGTTTGAATCCTATTACAATAATAAAAACCAATGTCATGTTATTACAAAATTACCCAATCTTGATTGAAATGTTTCTCCCATATTTTGATGTGCTCTGTAATTATGAGACCAGTTCAATAGCCCATGAGACTTCTTTGAAGTTTTATTCTGTCTGTTCATTTCATCTGAGTCTTGTTTCACAGATAAAAAAGCTATTACCTATAGTCACTCATTAATTTACTTCAACAAAATTTTATTGAGTGTCAAACTGATTATATTAGGCACTGGAGATGCCCAGTGAACCAATCATATACAAATTCCTACCCTCAAGAATCTTACATTCTGTTCCCTTGAGTTCTTCCTCCTTCGTCACATATTTAGTTTGGGTTGTTTAAAAGCACAAAGCATTTTAGTTTTGTTTAGTTTGTTTTGGTTTGGTTTTGACTACGTAAGATCTTTCTTTTTAAAAATTTGTTTTATATATTTTATTGTAAAGATACTGTACAGAGGGGTTACAGTTACATGAGCAAAGTAATGAATCCATTTCCTATCGAGCATAGTTATCCCCTCCTTTGATTTTCCCCTACCATTCTCTTCCTCCCCAACTCCTCCCTGCCCCCCAAAGCTGTAAAGTTCGTTTTCAACATAGTGTCTTGTACATCTCATTGTTGCAATGGGTCTTCCTGTATCTTTTATTTCAGCATTTTGTTATTTCCCTTCCCCTCTCCAAATTAGAAAAATGTATATACAAGATGCAGGGCACCAGAATTAAATACAGTAATGACAGGGGTTATACCAGGGGGAAGAACATACAAAAAAAATCACATAGTACATTATAAGTTTTTAATGTACTTATATAAGTTCTTTCAAGCTGTAATCTCCCTCCTCCCCATCTCTATCAGATTATTTTTCATGAAAACAGCCAGATCATGTTATAGCACCTCCACTTAAGCCCCTCCAAAGGCTTCTGTTGCCATTTACCATCCAGTCCTCTTAAGGCCCTCTGTGTTTTTGATATTATCTCCTACTCTCCCCTTCTCTCTAATCCTATGCCACAACTGGCCCTGTTTCTTGCACATTTGGGGGCCTCTGCACTTAACTGTTCCCTCTGTGAAGCCCTACTCCTATGCCCTTCCTGATACAGAGCTCTGTCCCCTGATCAGAAGGGCCAGACTTTACTGACCTCCCTGTCTTCTCCTTTGTCATTATCCTACTGTCTTCATGGCATTCATCACCAACTGATGTTACAACAGCACTCTGTGTACTCATCATGTTTCTCCCAACTTTCCCGCTAAAATTTAAGACCTGGGACCAGATACTTGTCCTTTCACCACTTCATGGCCCCTAACAATGCCCGTTATAGGAAAGATACTTTAAAAAATATTCATTTTATGTATCGTTAAAATTTTTCAACATCTTCTCTAAAGGAAATGCATTATACCCTTTTGTGTTCTTATTCTATTCTAAGTAAGGCTTGATTTTCCCATATTTTTTTCTGCAAAAATGTTGGTTCTGTTTAGTGTATTTCCTTATAAGTAAAATGGAATTTACACAAAATGTCCTTTGATGATTGAAAGGTAGTGTTTTACCATCTCCTTTGCAATTTCAAAGCTTAAAACCAAAATTGATCCAAACTAAATGTACTTTATGAAATAGAAGACATCACACAAGTCAATGTACAAACAGCTAGTGAATAGCATTGGAGGAACTGGTAAATCTTTGAAAAAATATCAATTTATAATTTTACCACCCATCAAAATAAATTTCAAAGTACTCGAACAGCAAACACAAGTGCCTGTCTAATAGTTTCTTGAAAAGTTTTTAACCTTAAAAGTAATGGAAGAAATTACAAAGTAAACAACGAAAACTGGTAGATTTTACTGTACAACAAACTTTTCAAGTAGATAGATCCAAACTAACTTGAATCAAAACAAACAGAAAAATTTAGGAAGTTCCTACATGGCTGCAAATGACAAAGCATAAAATGATCAAAGTATAAAAAGCACAAGCACTGGGCCGGGAAGGTGGCTCAGTGGTAGAGTGCTTGCTTTGCGTGCATGAGGCCCTGGGTTCAATTCCTTAGCACCGCATAAACAAAACAAAAACAAAAAACTGGAAGTGGCACCATGGCTCAAGTGATATAGCACTAGCCTTGAGTGAAGAGCTGAGGAACAGTGCCCAGGCCTAGAGTTCAGGCACCATGACCTGTGACAAGACAAAAAAACAAAAAAAGGAAGCACTTCAATAAGAAGCACAGGATCCTATCTCACTAGCCATTCTATCTCCTGCCAGATCCTCTTTTCCTTCTAAAGATTGAAATACTCATTCCCTTCAGCATCTTTACTCTATCTTTACTGATACCTAGAGTAGTAAGTATACTTCATCACTTTACATTCCATCAGTGGCTGAAGAGTCCTTAATTGATGTCTTCAATTTTACACCTTACTTTGAACTCTAAACTTTTAAAAATATGTTTTTATTGTGAAAATACCGTACAGAGGGGTTCCAATTATATGAGCAAGGTAATGAGTACATTTCTTTTTTTTTTTTTTTGTGGTTCAAATACTCTTTTTTATTTTTTATTTATTTATTTTTTTTATTGTGAAAATACTGTACAGAGGAGTTACAATTACATGGGCAAGATAATGAGTACATTTCTTATCAAGCATTGTAGCCTCCTCCTTTGTTTCCCTTTCCCATCCTTTCCCATCCTCCCCCCGCCCCCCCCCACCCAATACTCCCTACCTCCTCCCCTCCCCTCCATGAGTACATTTCTTATCAAGCATTGTTGCCTCCTCCTTCATTTCTACTACCATCCCTGCCCTCCCACCTCCACGACTATTCTCCCCCCCCTCCAACCCCCCTCCTCCCCCACCAAAGTTGTAAAGTTCATTTTTCGACATAACATCTTGTACATCTCATTGTTGCAATGGGTCCCACCTGTATCCTATTTAAACAATTTTTTCCCTTCCCCTCCCCAAATTATACCAACATCAAATAAAGTGAAAACGTGGTAGAGGAACATACAAAGCAACAAGAAAATCACCTTATAGATATATTAGAAACAATAGCAAGAAAGATAAAACCATTTGTGTCCTTATCTTGGGGTTCATTTCACCTAACATCGTCTTATCTGACCTTTTCTGCTTGACTCAGACATATACTAGTTATTGCAAATAAGGGAAACCATGGGACCTATGCTTCTTCGGGCCTGGCTTACTTCACTTCATATAATTTTTTCCAAGTCTTTCCATTTCCTAACAAATGGGGCAATGTCATTCTTTCTGATGGAGGCATAAAATTCCATTGTGTATATATACCACATTTTCTTGATCCATTCATCTACTGAGGGATATCTGAGTTGGTTCCATATCTTAGCTATGGTAAATAATGCTGCAGTAAACATAGTTGTGCTGGTAGCTTTAGTATGGTCTTGTTTGTGATCATTTGGATAAATGCCCAAAAGTAGGATTGTTGAGTCATAGGGGAGCTCTATATAGAGTCTTTTGAGGAACCACCATACTGCTTTCCAAAGTGGGTGAACAAGTTTACACTCCCACCAACAATGCAGTAGGGTTTCCTTCTGTCTGCATCCCCTCCAGCATCTGTTGTTATTAAGAGTTCTTGATTCTAGCCATTCTAACTGGGGTGAGGTGGTATCTCAATGTTGTTTTGATTTGCATTTCTTTTATGGCTAGAGAGGTTGAGCATTTCTTCATGTGTCTATTGGCCATCCTTCTTTCCTCTTTAGAGAAGTTTCTCTTCAAGTCTTTAGCCCACTTATTTATTGGGCTGTTGTTTGTTTGACAATTTGTTGTTGAGGGATTTAATTTTTTGAGTTCCAAGTATATTTTAGATATGAGACCCTTGTCCGTTGTATGGATAGTGAAGACCTTCTCTGAATCCATGGGCTTTCTATTGACCTTGCTAGCTATGTCCTTTGCCATGCAGAAGCTCTGCAACTTCATGCATTCCCATTTGTCCAAGCTTTCTTTGATTTGTTGTGTTTCTGGGTCTCTATTAAGAAAATTTTGGCCTGTGCCAAGGAGACCTAGGGTTTATCCTATTCCATCCTGTAATGGAATATCAATACCAAATTTCAAACTCTACTACA